CAGAGTGGGATGAGCTGTAGAACTAACCTTAATTCACAATCCATCAGAGTGGGATGAGCTGTAGAACTAACCTTAATTCCCAATCCATCAGAGTGGGATGAGCTGTAGAACTAACCTTAATTCACAATCCATCAGAGTGGGATGAGCTGTAGAACTAACCTTAATTCCCAATCCATCAGAGTGGGATGAGCTGTAGAACTAACCTTAATTCACAATCCATCAGAGTGGGATGAGCTGTAGAACTAACCTTAATTCACAATCCATCAGAGTGGGATGAGCTGTAGAACTAACCTTAATTCACAATCCATCAGAGTGGGATGAGCTGTAGAACTAACCTTAATTCCCAATCCATCAGAGTGGGATGAGCTGTAGAACTAACCTTAATTCACAATCCATCAGAGTGGGATGAGCTGTAGAACTAACCTTAATTCACAATCCATCAGAGTGGGATGAGCTGTAGAACTAACCTTAATTCACAATCCATCAGAGTGGGATGAGCTGTAGAACTAACCTTAATTCACAATCCATCAGAGTGGGATGAGCTGTAGAACTAACCTTAATTCCCAATCCATCAGAGTGGGATGAGCTGTAGAACTAACCTTAATTCACAATCCATCAGAGTGGGATGAGCTGTAGAACTAACCTTAATTCACAATCCATCAGAGTGGGATGAGCTGTAGAACTAACCTTAATTCACAATCCATCAGAGTGGGATGAGCTGTAGAACTAACCTTAATTCACAATCCATCAGAGTGGGATGAGCTGTAGAACCAACCTTAATTCACAGTCCATCAGAGTGGGATGAGCTGTAGAACTAACCTTAATTCACAATCCATCAGAGTGGGATGAGTTGTAGAACTAACCTTAATTCTCCTGGTCAATTATCATAATACATAAACTCGTCCAAGTTTGCCATCTTCCTGGCGGTCTTTACTTCTTATATCACAATATTTTCTCCTCTAATTTGTACAGTTTTGTTCCCCTGTTCCCTAAAAATAGGCTTATGTTCCCTTGTTTCCTTCAATATTTTGCCAAAGTTCCCTTGTTCCCCAAAACCCCTGGGACACCCTCCATAATAGGCCAATTGCGTGACACATAAGTCACGCAGTGACAAGCCTGTCTACTTATTTATTTAAAATGAATGCTTTCGGAGAAAAAAAAAAACTTCTTTCGTATTGCAAGTCCTTTTATATCATTCAAGCATCTATTATTACCACTGAAGCTCACAAACTGGAAATGATAAACAAAGCCGGTCTTTTCTTCTATGCCGCCGACTTCGCCGAAGAGCTAAATTTCTATGAATTTAAAGCCCTCGTATGCATAGCAGCACAAAAACCCCAGAACAACAACTCTAAAAACGGTAGGTCTATTGTTTCTACTTCACATATTTCAAATATTAAACGTTTATTTCACTTAGCACATATAAAAATAATTTTTGAAGGTACCCTACTATTCACACGGAAATTAAAGTGCCCCTGAGATCAAAATTTTCGTACATCATGTTTTTCCATTTTCGTGTTCAGTGTCTCTCCCTCAACTACTCTGCCAAATTTTAGTTTAGACCGAGCACCAGAAATATCTTTTTTCGGGCCGTTAAATTCACGATGTTCCGGAAGTTGATCGCAGGACTCATAGGAACTGACGTCAAAGGCTCAACGCGAAAATCTCACAAGGCAAAATGTCAAGCAAAGATAACAGAGTGCTTTACTCTATTCTTACAAAAACTAAACAAAAATGACTGGGCATCGATGCGTAATTCAAAGCTGAAGTAATCGTGCAGAGCATGCTGCAGGTATTCTCTGCATCGGAGCCTGGCAAATAGATCAGAGCGGGAAAAACGGATTTGTGTGACCTCGCGGAGTAAACTTCAATCCTACAGAAATATTTGTGATCTACTCCGAACACTTCTCGAAGGACTGTTTCGAGAGATCTGTGTACTTTGAAGGATCTAGGCGAAGAATTCTGTCGGGTTCAGTGCCTACNCAAACGAGACTCTAAAAATGGGCTAAATACGACCTTAATTGACGCTAAATGTGTAAATTGAGTTTTATCAATTTTCTCAAAAACAAAAGAATTTTTCAACAAGCTACATGTCTTGGTTTCTATAGGCCTACCTAATACTAGAATGTGAGCCAATTCGACTTTTTGACTGTTGCCGGTGATTTGTGAGTTTGTCTGATTGTTAGTGACATCTTCTCTTTAAAGGACTAGTGTCACGGTTGGGCATGCGCTTAGGAACACATCAATTCTAAGAAAAAAACTAATGTCACAGTTGGGCATGCGCATAAAACACATCAATTCCAAGAATTGGTTCAATCGTCCGCCATCTTGGATTTTGAACTTCATATAACTTGGGGCCCATCAAAGCTGATTAGAATACTGCTGTTTAGTGATCAACCGAGTTCCCTTTCGATCTATTTTAACCTCTATCCACGGGTAATTTTAAGTTATGGACACTAAGTTGAACAGATTCTATACAGCGACCGGACGGTAAGAGTTCAATTGCGGCGAAAATTTTTCCTTGCACAGCTGTTTTGTAGTAATTTAATTGCAAAAAAACCACTCTTTGCAAGGTTTTTTTTTTCGCTTTTAACAGAGGTATTTATAGGAACTATGCCTATAGCCCATCGAGGAAAAACTTATAAATCACGAGCCGAAGGGGAGTTATTTATTTGCTTTCCGCCGAGTGGTCTCCCAACATCTCAATTGGCTTGATCACGTGATACGGCCCGGAAAAATGCCTTCTATTGCTCTTATGACATGACTAGTTACATGCGGGTTTCATAACTTGATAAAGTAGCCGCTTGGAAACTGAACTCACCTACTAGACGATGCGTACTATGTTCTTTATGCTGTAATTTTTATTATAGCTCGATTGTTGAGTCGCAGCATTGTTGTGTTTCAGCTTAAAGAATGGATCACCTTCATACCATAGAAGTGGCGCTCTCTGCCCTAAGACAACTCTTGTCATTTGTTACTTCACAACATGGTTGGGAAAGGCATAATAATTTTGTCCGCAGAGCACGTGCTTTTATTGATAAGGCCATTTTCATTTTGGAGCAAATGGAGGATCGAACAAGGAAGCGATGCAATGCCATGTTTAATTTGATTGTGTCCACTGCTTGGCTAGTTGTGCAAAACTTGCATTCAGGGGCAGTTTTCAGCGCAGTTGGACGTGTTACTAGGGACATTAAGGATTTGTTTAATGGCCAGATACCAAACTACATGACCAGTAGTTATGAAGAACTTACAAGACTGTTGGATACCTCATCAATAAAACTGGCAAACATCCAGTCTACCTGTTGTGAACTAATAGAACAGGTGAGATTCACAAGAACAGCTTGGAGACTCTAAGTTTGATTTAGTAATCGCCCACAATATAAAATACCGTATTTCGTCGAATGAGTGCTAAAAGAAGAGGTGCTTATTGGATGGAGGGCCCCTTATCGAAAGGGGTGCTTATGTTTCTCCGGTACTGATTCCGCTAAAGTTTTCTGTTCAAAATGTAAAGATAAAGTGACAATAGAAAAATATCTCCGTATAGTGCTGGAGGGAGTGCTAATTCGAATAGGGGAGGGCGATTATTTAGGGGGAGGATGCTTACTGGAGCGTGAGCGCGTTTTTTGTAGAAATACAGCTCCACAATATTCGTTTTTTGAGAGCATATCTGGTTCTTCTTCGAATTGCATGCAATGAATGGCTTATGTCTCTTTAAGTAACAAACTGTCGAAAATAGATTACGTTTTCATTCATGTCCAATTTCACAGGTGAACGATGCCGATGAATATAACTGGACCAGGCTCCTTACTGTTCGCCGCTTGAAGCCGTTTCGTTTGAGGGCCTCTTTTGAGATCAGAGATTGCGAACAAAGTGTTGATAGGGCACATGTAATTATAGAATTACTGCAAAGCCAGGTCAAGCAAAATGCAATTACACTTGGACTGGGATTCGCACTTGGCACGTTATTGACCGTTGGTGAGAATATTTTGAAACTAGTTAGACAAAGACGTTTGCGCAGTTATGACCATCGTGCTTCTATTGTTAGAAAATTTTAAAAAGTCAGGAATTTGTAGAGTTTTGAAGGATGGTAATTTTTAGCGAAAGAACAAATTCTCGCACATTTTTAGTCAAGAGATTTAATTCATAAGGTTTCTTGTGACAAAAAAGAAAATGTCACGAGGAACTGGGGGAATCGAAAGCAAAAACAAGCAGGCTGCTTTAAGCGCGGTAAAACGCGAAAGCGTCGCGATTGGTTTTAGTTCGAATCTGTTTGGTTAAGAAAGTGGCCCGATTCGTTGCACAAGCTAATCACAAAGCAAAATTTAGCAAACTAAAAGAATCCTGGATTGCTCTTGACAATTGAAATTGCCTTTTTATTTGTTTTCAGATAAGAACTTTTTTTTCAACACATGGTAATCTTTTATGCACAGGTTTTGGGTTTGGTGCTCTTCGGGCCTTCCAACAAGCAGGAAGACTGCAAGCGGGCCTCCTGGGATGCGGTGGAGTAGCCAGCACCGTCAGCGTTGTCATGGTCGCCAAGAGACTCAATGACTATAAAGTGGCTTGGGAAGAAGTCAGACGGAGGCGAAGTCAGTACCGTCAATTAAGCATTCAGTTAGATTCTCTCAGAGAAACGATAGAAAATGATCTAAGGGAAGGGATGCAGTTGATGGGCGTGCTCGTCTCGGAGAGTATTATAACCAATTTCTTCATAATTTTAGCATATCTTGTCTATATTTTTATTTATTTTACCGATCAAGTAACCACCATTGACCCAAAAAAAATTGAACTATGATATGTGATATATCAGGAACGTTTATGCTGTGATTTCAATAACCTTTTCAAGGCTTCTGACAGCCAGTTTGTTGTTGAACTTTCTTTCAAACGAAGTAAAGCTATACATATTAGACATTTGCTGTTTTTTATGCTTTTTTGTTTGTTTTTGTTTTTTTGCTTGTAAGGACAAAATAATGGCATCAAACATTTAATAAGGATGTATCGTATCATGATTTTATTAACAATATTTTATAGGTTTAAGAACATTCGCTTTTATTTTGGGACATACTGTAAAGGGTATACATAACGTCATCAAATACTAGTGCTGTGAATTGAACTAGTGCTACCCTTGAAAATATACTTAACATGTCTAGCAAGTTATACTCAGTATTTCCCTCTGTTGAGAATTTAAACATAGCAAAACCCCACTGAGCAGGCTTTAAATATGCAAACTCCTCAGTCTTCTCGCGCAGACACGTGACACAGGCTTACACCACGTAAGCCTGCGTAAATTGTCTGACTTCTGTATGAATAAAGTCATCATCTCGACAGTTTAAAGGCTAATTCCAAGCCCTCAGGGTCTGAAAAAACCCGAAGGGGGCTGTTTTAAAATTACATTAAACTTCAGGAAAATTGTGTCATTTTTACAATAGTTAATGGCGCATATATCATCTTGTAAAACGAATCGTCTCGCTCCCTTTCCGAGCTGTCTATCGGCTCGCGGTCGGGAGATACACTGAGGCTCGAAGTGCGCCGTGATGTCTTTCCTTTCCTTGTAGTCGTCTCGTTGATCAAGCAGAGTGAAGGTGTATCGCGGATATACTGGCCATTTGTGAATCGAGTCGTACTCGCCAACTTGAACCTAAACGAAAAGGTAAAGTTAGATTATACAACGAATGACCCATTCCGCGGTAGCTCAAATCCGTTATATGGCATGCGTGGATAGGCCCCCTAAGGATTGTGCTAGCATAATGTTTTGGACAACTTGGTAAAACGTGAAAAGTTTTTGCCTTTTTTTTTATTTTTATAAGAGTAGCACTACTGTCATAATCAGCATATTTTAGTTTTTTTTTTCAGAAAACATTACCAGAGTCCTAACTTGCTTGGTCTCTGGGATTGATTACTTTCAAGTTCTGTCCAATTCATGGTTTACTCTATTTTCAACTTTGTAATGTCCTGGGGGGAGAATGGTTACTGCGAAACTTAGTCGTTCGTCGTCCAGAGGACTGGGCACACTGGAAGTAAAGATTGCGTCGGTCCCAGTTCTCGCCTTCACAGGCAACAATATGAGGAAGAGAAACGTAACGCTGACGTAGTACATTTTGATACATTAAGTCACCGCCTCTACTCTGGAAGCAATTCCAGTGGTTAATTATGTCTTGACAGAGTAAGTATGTAAGTAAAATTAAAGAATAACACGCTTTATTTACGATCAATATATAATTGGGTTTTGTGTTTTGGGCTTTTTATTAATTTTTGTTTTGAAAAGCATACTTTTAGAAAAGCATCCTATGATTTAAAAAAAAAACCAGCACAATTTGGAAAAAATCAAGCCATCAGCGCTAGCAGCAAATATACTAGTTTTACTAGCACAATCCATAAAGGCGTAGGTGTGGATGATGTTGTAATTCATTTTAGGTTTTCCCTGGCCTTTTTTCAGGTTTTCCCTGCCTTTTTTTCAGGTTTTCCCTGGCCTTTTTTCAGGTTTTTCCTGGCCTTTTTTCAGGTTTTCCCTGGCCTTTTTTCGGGTTTTCCCTGAGCTTTTTTCAGGTTTTCCCTGGCCTTTTTTCATGTTTTCCCAGGCCTTTTTTCAGGTTTTCCCTGGCCTTTTTTCAGGTTCCCCTGACTGTTCACCGATACTCATCTGCAAACCTGCCGCTGGACGGTACGAGGCACAGTAAAAGTAATTTGTTTTTTAACTAAGTTTTTTAAGCTCCCTCAGTTCCTGTCACAAGAGGTTACAAAGACCCATAGAGTAGTCGCCTTGGAGCATGACCTTTGAACTTGCAACGATAGGTTTTTTTCCTAATGTACAGGACAAGTATTCACGCGATGAAATTCTAAATTACGTGAAGGGAAAAGCAAGTGCCTTGTTACTAGGTTCCCATGATGATCTTGTGGAAGCTCACGGGAATATTGATAATGATAGTTGTAAAAACCCCCATAGAAATTTCGTCAGTCAACTGACCTGGAGCCCCACAGATATCTATCTACCTCTCCCGGTACCAACACCATTGAGCCACAGCCCTGCACACATTTTATACCCGTGGGGGTGGGTATAGAAAGGCTCACTAATCATCGGTTCGGGCGCGCGCCCAGACTTGGCGTCCACCAACTTCCGGTTGAAATCTGGTATTCTCCAAATAAACTCGCCATTTGCCGTTCGACCTCGCGCGTCGACGATTTCTTGTTTTTGTAGCAGCAAGGTTTCTTTCTGAAGCTGAAGGTGTTCCTTTTGAAGCTGAATTCTTTCTCTCTGGATGTCTAGTTGTTTCTTTTGACACTTCACTAATTCACTCAATGCGCTCAAATGAGATTCCATGTTGCTGGACAGATGTTCTTTCATTTTGTACCTCTCCGCCTGCATGTGGAGTTTATACATTTAAAATTATTAGTACTTTGTCATTCCATCCAAACACGTAGAGTTTTGGCCAGAATATCTGATACATGTTTTATTTGGTCAAGAATTAAGTAACTATATCAAAGCAAAACTCCGCAATCAGGTAGGCCAATAAAGTATACATGGCAATGTTTCCTCAGTGTGGAGGACATGTCATTGCGCAGTTTGAACAAACGGTAGCCTGACGTACAGATAGACATTTAGTCAGGTAGACATATATACATGCATACATACATACACACATAGACGCACATATTTCATACATTCGTATTTACAGACATAGAAACGTACAAACATACATACATACATACATACATACATACATACAAACAAACATACATACATACATACATATATACATTCAAACAAACAAACATACATACATACATACATACATACATACATACACACATACAAACAGACAGACCGACTGACCGACAGACAGACAGACAGACAGACAGACAGAAAGGTAGACGGACGCATGAACTGAAAAACAGATCAATGACAAACGCAGGGAGTAAAACAGAGACTGGTACACAGTCACACATACAGTCGGAAAGACAGACAGATGGTTGACTGGGTGACAAGGCATCAATCTTTGTAAAATAAAAGAGCCAATTAAAAAGTTTTACCTTAAATTTGCAGCCTGCATCAACAAATTTGCATGGTATTTCGAGGAGGAGACATTCATTGTTCATATGAACCGCCAACTACATAGAAAAACGAAAGGAAAGGACAATCAAATGAACAGAAGTCAAAACACTGGTTTTTGTTAGCTATCGGCCTTTTCCATTCTTGAAAGAAACGGCGCTTGTGTAGCAGAATATCGTTGTCCCCTTTTTGCGTAACATGATGCACTGAACATTCCATTTTAGTTACATAAACCCGTTGAATAGGTCCCAATAAACCCCGCTGTTCAGGAAAGGAAAACATGGAAAACGAGCTTTTCTCGGATTCGAGAGTGTGTTGGAAATCGTACGTGCATTGGCATTTAGCTGCATGTGCAAACTTATTCCTGCTTGATATCGAAGCTCCGTGATTTTTATCATGTGCCAAGCTTAAAAGTACATTGATATGCTTTGCAAATTTACCTTTACTGACACAATATTTAGGCTGGCTAATTATAAAGTCCCTCCTAAACTTCCGTAAAATGTCAAATCCACGTAAGATTTATTTATAAATTTATACTACTGTCTTGCTTCACGCGAATAATCTGTTCGTTGTGTCATATCTGGTGACGTCTGTAAGGTTCTCAGTTCACATTAAAGTCTGTCTTGGGATGTCCTACCGCAGCGAACGTACAAAACAACACACGAACACACCTACAAAGCAAGTGAAGGCAAGAAAATACAGAAGAACACACACCAAAAAGAAGAGAAGTATAATTGCATTATGTATCATAAGAAATCGGTAACAAAGACAATACTGAACAACAATAAGAAACGACGAGACATTAGATTATACTGTGCATTAGTCAAAATAGAGAGGTTTAACGAAATTATGAAAAATCGCATTTGATTATATATCTATGAAAGAATTGGAAGCTTTCACAAACCTTTTCTTTGGTCAGATTAGTTACACCGCAGTTGGCTGGGCAAGACACAGGGAAAGCTGTACAAGTTTGAAGGTGTAACTGCAATGAAATTACAGCTGTATGTTGGAATGACCGTTGAATCAGTAGAGAATCCCCCAACACCCCCTCCTCAACCCCTAAGTTCAGTTAATAACACATCTTCCAAGGGAACAAATCCCAAACATTGTCAGATCAGTCATTATTGTGCCCAAGAGATGCCTTTCACACTGAGTGTCAAAGAGGGCGCGGGGAGACGTGAAAATCTGTCAGCGAAACGGCACAGTGAATCAGACTACAAGAACACTGCAGCAAGAACTGTATCAAGTGGTAAACGTAAAACGCATGGGAAGACTCAAACGATTTTGGACATACGCAGACTCTCTCTCGGAAAACCGAAAACCGTTGAAGATTAATGTGCATTAT